TAATTTTAAAAAAATATATTCAATAGGATAAGAAATCTTAGTGTAACATAAATAGTAAAAATCTTATAAGTATATTAATTTAAATTTTATATTAATTAACTGTGAAATTGAATACCTTAAAATTCAACTCTTAATATCATTTAAAGTCAACTTAATTTTTCTTTAATTAATTTAGTTAATTGATTTCCTCAAATAATTTAATTTTAATTGTCTAAATAAAATTAAAATTAAATTAATTTTAGTACTTCATTAATTTACAATCTCTGTAAGATATGTATTACTTAAACTGATTAATAATGTCGTTAAAATAAAATTAATTCATCTAAATAAAAAAATTGTCATCCCTACTTTAAACCGTTCAGTTGAATGGTTTACATTGATTTGAGTAGTTCTATCGGTTTTAAACGATTCAACTTTTTTACAAATTCCAAGCACTTATCCACCTCATTTATTTTATTTTATTTTATTTTTTGATCAGCAAATTAAATGTATTAAATTTATATGGAATACAAAGGGCACTTATCCGCCTCATTTATGATACTGGGTGTTGGTTTGATTGGTTCAATTGACCGGTTCAGTCTGGTTTTTAAAACAATGCTTGGGTTATTAAGAAGGTATTAGCATGATTATCTTAAATCAACCAACTGCCAACCTACACTAAATTCCCAACAAGTGTCTCCACGGCAACCAACGGAGAAGTTACCTTTGGATTTAATGACCAATCACGAGACATATTACATAACGATTAATTACAAGAGATATATAATATATTACTATTAGGGTGCATGACTAAGATTATATTACAGCTAGCTCCATCAAAAGAAAAAGTTACGGTAAGCAATATATATATTATAGGAGACATATCATACAACGGTTATTTAGAGGTACTACTTTTCTTCAGCTAGAGATTAGATAAAATCAGAGTTCTGGCACCCGTATGCACTTGGCAATCCAGCTAACAGGCCAAGAGATGGCAGCAATGGCTACACAAGCCCCCCAGCGTACCCAATTCAACTTCTCCGTATTGGCAAACTGCATTAGAAACTCCACCATGACCACCTGGAGAAGAATCATAATCCCAACAATCCCAAGAAACTTCCAGTTCTTATGAACGTCCTTCAATACATTCCTCTTCTCAAGCTTCCTCGCATTGAAAACATTGAAAACTTGGCAAAGGACGAAAGTATTGAAGATCAAGGTGTTCTTCACAGCCTCTGTTACTCCAAATAATGATTCTCCACTAAAGTGCAGCATTAGGAGGACTCCAATCTGATAAAGAGATTGAGTTATGAGGTTCCTCCACATGATGTTGGTAATAAGTCGCTCCATCTGGCGAACGGGGGGCTTCTCCATTAGCTCGCTGGTGGGTTGCTCGGTATCTAGAGCCAGAGAACCCAAAATCCCCGTTATCAAATTCGTCCAGCACAGCTGAGCAGCTGCTAACGGAACTGTTCCGTTAGAAATAGTTGCCACGAGGTTGATAACTAGAGAAGCTATTGTTATAGTGAGTAGGAACTGAATGGATTTCTGGATGTTGGTATAAACACATCTTCCCCACATTAAAGCCTTGACCACGGTTACGAAGTTATCATCCAAGATGACGATGTCAGAGCTTTCCTTGGCGACTTCTGTCCCTTGAGTCCCCGAAGAGAACCCAACATGGGCTTCTTTAAACGCCTGATCAGAATCCTTTATGCCGTTGACTGCAACCACTTCTCCTCTCAGTTCCAAGCACTTCACCATAAGAAAGTTGGCGAAGGAAGATGATCGTGCCATAACGCAGATATTGTCAACTTTCTCCATCCTCTGCTCATGTGTATAATTCCTGAATACCTCACCTTCCACGACTGCTCCTTCGCTGTCCTCAACAGATCGGAGAATCCCACATTCAATAGCTATGGCTCTTGCAGTGGAGACATTGTCACCGGTGATCATCTTGATCTTTATACCGGCACGCTGGCATTGTACCACGGCTTGCTTCACCTCTGGCCGGCGTGGGTCCTCAATGCCTGCAAGTCCTAACAGGGTCAAGTTTTCTTCTTTGAGCTTTTTCTTCTCTTTTAGATCTTCTCCCTCTTCTTGTGAAACTTGTTTGTGGGCAAAAGCGACACAGCGGAGACCACTGGCAGCCATTTCCTCAATAATTTGCTTAAAATTCATTTTTTCTTCTTCATTCAAATCTTGCATAATTCCTGAAGCATCATAGTAACTGGAGCACATTGCTAGAATCATCTCTGCTGCTCCTTTCCAGTGAACATGAAGTGTGTCTGTGTTATCATCTTTCCTCTTAATCAGAACTCCACTCCGTTTCTTTTCAGAATTGAAAGTTTCAACAAAAAGGATTGAACAATTCTGCTTCAATTCCTCCATAACTAACTTCTTTTCAGCCCAAGAAAGGATTGCCTTTTCAGTTGGACAACCGAAGATTTCGGATCCCAATCCTCTAGAACATTTGTAAGCACCTTCCCTTGTGTTCAGGGCAACTCCTTGTTGGATCAACTGAACAACATACGGAGGATCTGAAGAAGAAAAACCAGCTTCATCCATGGGCTCCTGGCCAAGCCAAAACTTCTTCACCTTCATCTGGTTAAGTGTGAGAGTGCCCGTTTTGTTGGTGCAAACGGTGGTGATGCAGCGGATGGCCTCGCACGCGGAGAGCTTCCGAACCATCACCTTATCTGCCATCATTCTCTTCCTTGCAAAAGTTAGAGTCTGCTTAACTACCAACAAAAGGTTTTCTGGAAGGGCAGCGCTGATGATAATAGCGGTAGCAGCAACGAACCCCTTCACAGCAATCGCTGCACCATCGCCCTTGGTCTTGCTACCGTTGGATTCTATTTTGCCATCTTTGTCGACGGTATTTTTGGTGAAGTGAGTAACAACTAACAACACCACAAGAACCAAATTGCTAACCTGATATATTGACAATGCTAGCTTCCTCACCGCCGTTTGCAGTGGTGTATCCTCATTCCTGTCTTGGCCGATTGAATTCTTCTGATATGTTAGAACTTAATTAGGATGAAAAATTACCGATGAAAAAGGATGTAGTTTGAAGCTAGGTACTCACAGGAATTTGAGCAAAATGTTACGTGCACTTATGAGGATCGGACTTACCATTTGATCGTATGCGGTGTTCATTCCGACCGATGTAACAAGCATTTGAGCGTACCCGTCGATAACCTTGGCACTGGAAACTAAGAAGGGGTTTTGCCTCAAATTCACCTCAACATTGTTGCTGTCTCCGGCCATGCTCGATTTATTTACTTGCAGAGGATGTCCGTCTAGGAACAACCCATCTGCTGGAACATGGTCCCCCGGCTTCAGGCAAACAACATCTCCAACAGTTATATTAAAAGTCGAAATCTGCTGCCGTTGACCACTCCTTATGACATCAATTTGGATTTTGTTGCTGACTCCAGAAAAATTCTCCAATTCTGTGTTCTGCCAGTAGTTGCTGATGGCAGAGAAGGCAACCTGCAGAAAAACGGCAATGAAAATGATTCCGCTGCTGTACCAGCCGTCTTTGAGGCCTTGATCCTTGATGCCAAGACCAAGGGAAATGGCTGCACAGCCAAGAAGAGTTATGACAATGTAATCTTTTAAAGCTTCTGCCACGTAGAAGGAAAATCTTTTGTGCGGTTGTTTCTTATAGGTGTTCGAACCAAAGGCCTCCTGTCTGCGGGCAATGTCCTCAGCACTGCCATCGATCCCACCGTCCAGGTTGGTTTCCAGACAAGAAGCAATGTCATACACGCCACCGAGATTCTGAAGTTTCACGATGTCTTTCTCCACTGCAAGGTTAGTGAGAGTCGCTTTACTAATTCTGAAACCACCATTTTCTGGCCGGACGGTGATTGAAACGTGCGGTCTGGTCAGATCCTGCCCACAGACAATGTCTTCAGCGCCGTTATGGATATTACCGTCCAGGTTTGTATCCGGACAAGAAGCCACCTCATCAACGCCGCGAAGTTTCTGAAGCTGGCCGTGGTCTTTCTCCATGATCACAAGCGGTTAGTGAGAGAAGTGCGATTGAGCAAACTTTTTCCCGATAAAACTCCCCGCCGCAGATGAAATGGCTACAGAATTTTCTCACAGAGAAGATTTTTTTGATGAAGCAAAAATTTTTACGTAATGAAACTCCCCGCAGATGTTTCCCCGGATGAAGAAAACATTTCACGGTGATGAAACTACCCACCGCAGATGTTTCTCCACGATAAAGCTCCGTGTCCGTCGCAGATGTTTCTCCCCGATAATGAAGACTTTTGCCGGTAATGCAACTCCCTAACCGCAGATGAAGTGAAACTCCCCGAAGATTTTCCCCTCGATAAAAGTAAATTTTGCTCCGTGCCTGCAGCCGATGTTTCTCCAGATGAAGCAAAAATAAGCCGGTTATGAAACTTCCTGTAGATTTCCGATCGAAAAGTTTCCGGTGATGAAACTTCCCAGCCGCAGATGCTTCCCCCCGATGAAGCAAATGTTTGCCGTGCCCACCGCCGAGTTTCCCCCGATGAAGCAAAATTTTTGCCTGTAATGAACCATCCGGTAGATGTCCCGATGAAAAACTTTTCCGGTGAGGAAACTCCCCAGCCGCGGATGAGCAGCCGATGTTTCTCCAGATGAAGCAAAAATTATCCGGTTATGAAACTTCCTGTAGATTTCCGATCGAAATTTTTCCGGTGATGAAACTCCCCAGCCGCAGATGTTTCCCCCCGATAAAGTAAATGTTTGCCGTGCGCACCGCCGAGGTTCCCTCGATGAAGCAAAAATTTTGCCTGTAATCCCGATGGAAAACTTTTCCGGTGATGAAACTCCCCAGTCGCGGATGAAGTGAAATTCCCTACAGATGTTTCCACAGATAAAGCGAATTTTCCCAGTGGCCGCCGCCGCCGATGTTTCTTCCTATGGAGCAAAATTTCCTCCGGTGATGAAAATTGGCGATTCCCCGATGAAGTGGAGTGTTCTAGTGGTCTGGTAACGAAACGTAGAGTTCAAGTGGTGTGAAAATGGCAACGAAAGTCAAATGCTGTGTCAGAAAAACTTAGGACGGGTTTCGGGTTACAAATTCTCTATAATGAAGGAACTGTGGTGGACTACGTTTACGTGTATAACAGAATAACTAGTGGCCGTTTTATAAAAGAGATTTGCCCCACGCGGCCACGCAGTGACCACAGATTCAGCACAACTCTGTTGCACTCAATTCTTTACAACCGCCTCAATCCCGCATCTTTTTGCAATATCCATGGACAAAGGAGAAGTTTTAGGCTTAGCAAAGCTCAAAATTTTATTCCTGACATCAAACTAAATATCTTGAACAATTTTTTCCATTGATTGAAAACTTTGTTGATGAACTCGCCTATTCCTTTCTCTCCAAATGTGGAAAATTGCTGTAGTCCATGACAACTTAATGAGAATAGTATATAGTGACTTCCTTCTAACTTTCTTCCCCATCCATGCTAATAATTTTTGCCACGCATCAGTGAAAGGAATTCCTACCACTTCACATAATTTGTGCCAAACTTGCTTTGTGTCGCTGCACTTAAAAAAGAGGTGTGCACTTGTTTCTGCCTCAGAATTGCAAAATAGACATGTATCATTTATGTTGGCTGCCCATTTCTTTTGCCTAGCT